GAGAATATAGAGTGCATGGGCATGCGAGTAAAACTGAAGTATTACTACATGTGGATAAATAGTAGCAAAAGCATTAAAAGGTAATAAAACGCCATAAAATCACCATGAGAGTATTTCCTGGTCCTTGAGTGAAAAATTCTATATAATGCAAAAAGCCCATCCCCCATAAAACCCCAACCCTGGTCTCTCGCATATGAAGCGTCACGCTTACCACTACATCAATCCGCTGTTGAGAGGAAGGGCTCATCCAGGTAATTTAAGTTTTCTCATGTTGATCTCCATGAGACCACCCTCATAACTCCGTCCAGAGGAACGCTCGGCAAATTTGGAAAGCAGATTCGAACTCAGCATCCGAAAAAATCTCCATCAGTGTAGGTCTCATTTCGAATGGCCACTTCGACTTGGGATCCTTCTACTCAGTGGCCCCCATGGATAGGAGAAGGGTCTCTCTCGCTCTCGAAATTTCGACGGTCAGGGCATAGTGGAAGCCCTGTTGCGGTCTTGAGTCGCTTTCCCACCTCTCGATCGATGTCACGTCAAACGTGTGTCGAGGCAATACAGATTGCGAATATTCGTTCTGGGACCAACACACATTCAGCTGATCGCTTAGTGATGAGGCGATGTTTTTCTCCTATTCTTTTCCTCTGTTATTCTTTTTGCTGCCGCGATCCCTTTTTTAATTTCCTACCCCAAGAGGCTGAAAAGGATGAGCTATTTTTGCTGTAACTAGGATTTTTTGTTTACCTATGCTTGTAAGCGGATGAATTTTTGCTTACCGTAGTCAGATATTCGCACCAGGACCCACACGTACGCAATGATGCACTGTGCTTAGCTCGTCCAAACGCCTCACTCTTCTTCATTTTTTGGTCTCATTCTCGTCCATCCCCTTTTTTAACGATTTTTCAAAGCCTTTTCCACTTGGGAAACATCCATCCACGCAGTTCCTTCGCCTCCATCGCACTGAATTCCATCTTATCATCCATTTTTCGTCATAAATTGGGTCACCCAAAAATTATCGTGAACTGTGCCCTTAATTTAGGAAAAGCTTTAGTGAAAGTCTGCTCTTGGACCTGCCGCCTCCTGTCGTAGTCTTCATCCTGCCGCATTAAGGAGAGCTTTAAGTGCAGGAAATAATTTTCCCACCTCCCGGTGGCGATATTCTGGCTTGTCACCTGCCGTTAGTTCCCTGTACTACTGCCCACATCCATTCCATAATTGAACGCCCCAGCTCCCAGGTAATAGGTTTCGCGCACGCACTCCCCCTCCCCCCTCTTGGGGATGAGGTCCGGCTCTGCAACAAACCATCAGTGTTCTCATCCAAACCTCTGTGTACCTCCAACGCTACGACTCGAATTTAACCGAATTTTGTACATAAAGACCGACGAAACAAAAATTCCATAGCTGTTTTATTTTACTTCGCACTGGAGCTTTGGTGTGCGGTGTGGAGTATGACAGGATTGGAGATGGTTAGTGATGGGGACTGATCGACGCAATCCGAGGAGGTCAATAAGGTCGACTGCCAAAAAATGAGAATAACCGTGAGCTCAGTGGTTTACATTGTTGATGAAAAGCTCAGAGTTGAGCCTTATGGAGCCAAAAGTCCCATCTCGCGTGTTAAGAGAATTCGGGTCTGGTTATGCAAGTTCATCCCTCCTCTCAGATTAGAAGCCACCAATGTTGAATACAACGTTCAATAACGAAAATGATTGCGTGCTCCACTCAGCAGACAAAAGAGCCAACGATAAACTGAGAACCCATGAAAGCTAAGAAGGTAATGGTTCGGGCAGCAATACGTGTCCGTGAGCTGTAAGCAGGTCCTTTTCTTAATCAGAGAGAAACTTTCTACTCAATGTAAATATTTACTTCAGAGGATCCTCAGGAACACCTCGTTCTCAGGGATGATAATGATAATGTTCCACTTCGGACCCAGAACGTGTTCCATCACCATTCAGGAGCCTCATAAGTCGGATGTGATGCAACACGATGCAGGGACTTTTCCACAGCTTCATGAGCACTTAAGAATAGCCGCCCAGCAGCGATCCGAATTCGATGAGCCCACTCGGTCCTACTCAGAGATTAAGGCTTGCTTTAAACAACTCTCCTATCACGGGTATCAAACGTCCCGTTTACCTTCGATTTGCTCATGCCGGCATCTGTAACCTCTTTGTTCTTCCCCTACGGAAGCCGGTGTGGTCCAGTGGACCGGCCTTGGCCAGGCACAAGAAGCATGACGTAAAAGAGTCAAGAGCCTTGATGAGGAAATCTGATCATCGCTTTGGCGGCGGCTTTGGTATTTGCTTGATTTCCCGAGGGATTTAGTGCGCAACCGCCCTGGTCAAACGGTCACCCCATCATCGCATAGTGTATCCAACCTGACGTCGTACTTGATCCTCTCCATTGCTTTTCAAGATGCACTAACTGCTCCAACAAAACAGGTGAGGAATCTCAGTGTTTTGGAGAAGCTTTGGCGAGCATCGCGAGTCCCATGCTCGTTGTAAACTGCTGCTCTTCTCTTTGAGATTTTCCTTTATCGTTCTCTACATAACTTCGCAAAATCGGTCTTTGTACATGTTTGCCTGTAGCTGTTGGTGTATCAGCTGAAGAGTCTTCGAATAGAGGCGTCCCTTGGTTCTTTGCTTTCCTTGCATCATCGTGAAAGTGTTTGACGAGCAGGTTATAATCTTCATCTATCGGAGAGATGGTGGTCCCATCCTAATTGGAAATTCCGTTTAATAGCAATCTCACTCACGCAAAATTTTTCATCGAGACTATGTGATCTTTCTCATTTCGGAGCATGCAATTCGATTGCGAGTGAAAAGGCCTCAACAAGTGCGAGTGGTGTGGATCGACATGATGGACCGATTGGGAAGCTGTGCCTTGCACCATCCTTGCATCATCGTGAGTGTTCGACGAGGCAGTCGTGAGTTAAGGGTTGAGCCACAGCTTCCCAATCGCACAATCTTTCACCCTGATAAGTCCACCTCGTTCCGTTAGACCTAGTACGAGGCTCTTCAGCCGTATCTTTAAAGCCAGTCGTGAATTAAGGGTTGAGCCACAGCTTCTCAATCGCAAGCATCGTGTTATGAAGTCTTCGTACGGATCGATGTTTGGTCCGATGACGTATCTGATCTTTTCATCATCATCTAGTCTTCACTTGACGTTTCAGAGCGTATGTGCATTGAGTGGTTGGAGTGGAAGTAAGGGGATTGCCGATAGTTCCGATTAGCCATACGCTGGTACACATCTCTACTTGACGGCCACCACGGCCAAGAATCCTCGCAAGAGCTTTCGTGCTCTTCTTCGACCCCCTATATTGGAAGAGCATACTGCTTCTCTTCTAATCTAGGAGTGTCGCAGAAGTGTGCTGAGCTCATGAATCCGCGCTTCACATTGGTCATGGCTTTTCATTCATTGTAAAAAAAAGATAAAAATTAATTAACAAACATGACACCCTATCAGTCTAATCCTTCTGTTATTAGTTATTTATGTTACTTGAACTTGGTTTTAATTAGTCGTAAATGGGTGGTGCTAGAGGGAATAAAAAATTTGATTAAAACTCTGCTCAGTTTTTTCTTCGCGAGCTAATTTTCTGCTGACAGAGCTTGCTAATGCGCTTCAAATTTCTGTTTTAGGTGCCAACTGACTTCACTTTTGGACGAGGATGAGCAAGATAAATTTCGATCCGCTGGTCTTCGCTTGGCCCTCGACGTACTTTGCTCTCAACCAATGTACACTTTCCACGTCTCAGAGCTGTACGACCAATTTGTCAAACAGGTAGTTGGCTGCATGACACGAATAAGAAGATCCGACTCAGTAACATGGCAAAAAAAACATGGCATCCTTATCAATAGTGGCCATCGATCTGATTTTTGAAACGAATCTTCGAACAAAGCAACGATGAATTCCCAGTCAGATCCCAATAGTTAGGATTTGGTTGAGGCTTATTCTGTAGTCAGCGTGAATTGGAGACATGTAAACATTTCTTATGTTAAGTGTACATGTTAGAGATATTCACGGCTGGCATTCGAGCTTTTCCTGCAGTCTATTCCCTCGTCAGAATCGGCAATTCGTGGTGCCAGTTAACGGTATAAGACTGGAAATAAACGCTTTCGATTCATCTGATTAGACGTTATTTTCTATAATTTGTTTCATTCATTCAAATAATGGACGGGAACACAACGTCTAAGCTCTTTGAAGTTTTCGAGGACCCGGACTCCCTCCGACCATTCACTATCTCTTCCTAAAGTCACCTGGGCCATAAGGTTTCTACCATTACGTGCTTTCTATATTGACTACTTCGAGTGGCTTCAAATCCCTCAGCGTGACAAGATCTCGATGGAAGATTTCGCTTTGCCTCCTTGGCGTAAGCTAATCATCATACTAGGTCGTTCACCAAGCGATCGTTCGTAAGAAATTTAGTATCAACGTCTGGGCGAAAAGCCCGAGCCAAAGGGAAGTCAAAAAACGATCTGAAGTCTACCACTGGACAATTAATTAGCTACTTGCCACGAGAGAATACTTCCAAGTGATCATTTGCAGAGGACTAAAAGAAAGCACGCGAGTTATTTCGGACGTCTGACTTCAATTGTGAAATCTGCATTGCCAAGCGTGGACCACAGCGTTCAATGCAGTTTCTACTGAACTAATACAGAGGTGAAAGGAATACTGCCTCTCGTATTTGTGTTGAATTGTGTGCAGAAAACACCTTCATGGCAATTTAAACAAACATGTCAAAGTCTGGCAACTACGTTCAAAATCAGAGTCCAAAAAAGACGCTCCTGGTTTACATCATCGTCATCTAATCTTAAGGTGTACCTAGCTTTCATGGTGATATGGCATATTTGACAGGTACACCTTTGCGATGGCTGGCAAGTTCTGAAGATCCTGGAAACGCATAACGAAACGTTGAAGATGTTGAATGTTTCTAGTAGGTATGTGAAAGAACTTTCCTTCTTTTCTGGAGTATAGTCTGTATACGATGCGGCAATGATATTATACTGACCCATCGTCTACAGAGCTTGAACCTCGGATAGATGATATAGATGGACCGCGTTTAGCCATTGGGTGATACTGCGGATCAATTTTCCTGTGCGCGGTTATTTGGATGCAACTCAGACCGCTTTGGAGCTTCAGTGGCCTGAAGCGTTGCTTGCTAAGTGGCAGTTTTCTGCTCTTTACCGTCCATCTCTGTCAGTGATTGTTCCTTTATTTTCGTCATTACCTTTTCTACCAGTCAGTTCGCCCGGCTGACACAGGGATTCTCTGTTCGGCAAAGTTGTAATGACTGGCTGATCCTCCACCCCTTTTTTAGGCAAATGACACCTTTCTGAACGCGAATGTTTTTCCCTGTGATTAGAAGTCTGGTTTTATTGTTCTTCATCTTGAAAATAATGATTCATTAAAGATACGGTTAACGATAAAAAAGGATACTGAGTTCTTTCCCTAGGGATACCCAGCGCCCCACCCCCTCCCATGGGTGGTAGAAGGGACCCTCTCGCTCCCGCAATCTCGGCGCTTAGGGCGTAGCGAAAGCCCTGTTGCTCCGTAATTGGCTTCAACGCCCCTCGATCGATGTCACGTTAGACGAGTGTCGATACAATACAGATTGCAACTATTCGTTCTAGGACCCACACACAATCAGCTGATCGCCGAATGATGAGGCAATGTTTTTCTCCCATTCTTTTTTCCTCTTCTATTCTTTTTGCTGCCGCAATCTCTTATTTAATTTCCTGCTCCTAAAGGCTGAGAAAATTGAGCCACTTATGCTACTACTAGGGGGTTTTTTTGCTTATGCTTATAAGTGAATGAATTTTTGCCTGCCATGGTCTGTTGTTCGTACCAGGACCCACACGCACGCAGTGAGCCACATTGTGTAGCTCGTCCAAACTCCCCATTCTTCTTTATTTTTTCTGGTCCCATTCTCGTCCACCTTTTTAACGGCTTTGCGAAGCCTTTTTTCACTTTGGAAACACCTATTCACGCAGTTTCCTCACCTTCATCGCACTATTTTCGTTCTTGTCATTTTTCGTCATAATCTGGATTACCCAAAGAATCGTGAACTGTGCTTTTGAAGGTCTGACTGTAGGCAACCGAAGCCTCGAATACACAGAAATTTTCTCGGGTGATAATAACACCATTACCAGATAACGTTATCGATAAACCTTCATTTCTCAACGAACATTATGAGCTGAGAATCCCAGGTTATGAGTGGTCGGATAAGTTTTGTCGAAAATGGTGTCAAATCGAAGGGAAGAGTAGCCATAGTAGCTAATAGCACGAAAGACAGAATTTCATGCCCTTATAAGATAGTACCTTTAATCGGTTTCTATGGCTGCACTTACCCCTCTTGTCATGAAAACATGTCAAAGAGTCAGAGTGAGATCGTCAATACCTTAAAGGTTGAGNTTTTATTGGTAAAAGGCTCTAGGGCTTTTCATACAACCTTGTTACATCCCACATCACCAGTCAAAATGCCAAGGTTTTACTGCTAACCCGGTAGCCTTCTATGTCTCTTCGTCAGCCCTTGTTTCTTGTTATCAGTCCTTGTCACTAGTCAAGAAGTCAGATCCCTTCACCTCCCACACCACTACTGAATTCTGAATCTTTACTTTTCATACGTAGGACGTTATAAACCGAGCCGCTCTCACCTTCTATGGCTCGCTATCAGTCCCTAACAGTTGTGAACAATCCCTATCGCTGAACATATACGGTCCCTCATTAATCCTCACCACCTGCTAAATGTCAAGCTCACCGTTAACAAGGAAGAGGTGGCGAATCCTGTGGCTTCTGCCTTGTAGGGATCCTTATCAGCTCCTACCAATTATTGTCATCTCCTATCGTTTACTGTGTTTCCATGCTGCTATCAAATTTTAACGCTCTAGGTCTGAACTGACCATTTTCACGCACTTTCTATATTTGAGGAGTCTAGTCCGGCTACTCAACATCAGCGTCCCGAGATCGCCGGAGCACTCCTACTAAGTTTATACTCCCACTAAATTGAACGCTCTCTAAAGGATTAGGAGGAACTGACGGTCAAATATTTACTTCGCGTACGCCCTGCCCTCTGTGGACGGATACGGTCTGCCACACACCATCAGTGTTCCGATTCTGCCGCCTGTTCTCCTACCAAATTCAGGTTCACGAGAACAAGACTTATGAATTTCAGTCAAACACGTCAAACACGACGCGGTCGCGTCGTGCTCAAGCCCCTTCGAGGAGCTGAAAACAAGGAAAAACAAGATCAAAAACCATTTGCATAATCCCCTGGTTGTTTGGTTTTTGATCCTGTTTTTCCTTGTTTTCAGCCCTTCGAAGGGGGTTGGGCGCGACGCTACCACGTCGGACGACCGTCTGCTTCCTTTCTCCCCCCCCCCCCCCCTACCACTACTTCGGCTGGCTCGTCGGCTCGCTCGTCCGCACGCCGGCACGCCGGCGAAAGCAGCCAATTCTGTACCACTTGACTAAAAACTTTCAAGAGGTTGGATCAACTTGGGATTGATGGATGGGGCCCAGGGTAAGATTTACACAACGTCACAGCGTTCACAGCGCATTCGCGCTCAGCGTCTATAGGGACGGGACTGCACCTAAAAGTACAAATCTGAGTTTCAGATAGTCCTGGCAGGGGGAAAATGGGGCTCAGGTTAAAAGTCCATGGAGAAAGCATCCTCAAATTGGTGATTCAATGTGAATTCATAGTTTGGCTCCAACGAAAGGTATGAAGGCCAGAAAAATTGTAGCAGTGAGCAATGTACGAGGTGTGCTTGCGTGCGGAAACTCAACGAAGCTCTGCCTCTGATGGGCGGGGCGCGCTCCTGAATGGAGAGCTTTTATTAGGTTGATGCATAATCATTGCGAATTTTTTCGCGGCTTTCTTTGTCTCGATAGAGTTTGATTATTGAGTTCGAGTTTTTTCCGGAAATGATCTACTTGGATTTCCTCTACCAAAATATACCTAGAAAACCATCCGCATATTCTCGAAATTAGGCTCTACTACTTCGAGAAAGGTTGTCATTCCGCGAGCTCAATAACTTTTCGGCGATGGAACAATCAGCCAAGGCCTACCAAGAAGTGAGATCTACTCCTAAATCTGCCATATTCACCAGCAGAAACATCTATGGATCATCTCATCGACCGTCCCCCGAGAAAATGGATAGGGAATAAAAAATACGATTCGGATGATATGATGACCGATGTCAAGGCATGGATCGCCTTCGATCAAAACTTCTTCGCTTTTGGAATCCGACTATCTAGCCAATGGGAAGCAGTGCATGACGTATATGGTGGATATATCCGGAGTAATTATTTTACCATGTTTTCGTTCATTTTTTCTATCGTTTCGTAAGATGAAATTTGTTGAAAAAAAATCCGCAATAATTATGCATCAACCTAATACAAAGTTAGTGACGTTCAAAAGCGTGCTAAAATTCGTAAAAACGTGGTTGGAGGTTATTGATGGAGAAGTAGTGAAATCGGTGTGGTAGACTGGGCTTGCAAGCAAGGAAGGCTGAGCTGAAATCAGAAATCCATAATTGTTGAGAAACGCTATAGAGACCGGAAAAAAATTGGAGGCTATCGAAGGATTGTATTCATGCTCCGTAATGCCAAAGTATCGTACACCTAGCCTTCGCATTCAACCCTAGTCATAAAACGTTGAGTGTATATGTGTGTAGGTATGCGCGTTTTTGACAGAGCATTAAATTTTGCTAGGAGTACAAACGACAAAATGTGATCGCTGACAATTAGTAACAGGTCTGAACTCTGCCCTCTGAGCGTAAAGCGTGCGCGCTACATCACTAATCAAACGCGGTAAACAGGACGGAAAAAGAAATGTCATCAACCGAAAACCCATACGCATCAATACCAGACTTCTGGATACAAGGAAGGGCATTTTCAGAAGCAACTCCACCTCCCTTCGAGAGAGCGAGAGCAACAGAATCAGCATTTTTACTAACTATCTCACACTGGCTAGCATCCCAAAGACCACAGATATCCTTTGAGTTCACAAAGGTTTCCCAGCACCTGCGATGTAATTTGAGAACCAACGCTAGTAGACACATTTCACACATTTGCTTCCCATTCTATACACGGTTCTAGGGCGACATTTATTATTCAACAGGCAGTATTTGATACGTAATACTCAACTACCAACGTAGCAGACCGTTGCGGCATTAGAGCATCCGAGGTTGCATTCTCATAGGGTGTGCGAATAAATTTCCGATCTCACCTAATCAAGCTCGCCTCGCACCTTGGCGCGAAATGACCTTAATTATGTGCGAAGACTAAGCAGTAATTATGCTGTCCACACTCGCTACTAATCGAGTTAGAACTTGTCATTTGGGGAGGATCATTACAGTTTAAAAAAATAGAGTTTCTATCAAAAAAATAGTTTTTTTTGTAAGAAAAAGTTCCAATATCAATTCCAACGATTTTGAGAGCTTTACACTGTTTCACTTTTGCTCCGGAAGCCCCTCTGAAGTACAAGCACTTCACAGGCCTCCTGTACTTCAGAATCATTTCGCGTACAGTGAATCCCTGGAGTTCCTTGACTACATGAAAAGGAGTTCAGATTCGCAACAAACAAAACTATCAGAATTTTTTGCTTATAGACTTAGGTTTTATTTTAGTTATTTTTATTACTAAGAGATTGAACGTTTTCTCCCATATCACAGGAACTTGAGTCACGAAACATTTTGAATTTATTTATTATGCATGGAAATAAAGCTCTCAAAATCGTTGAAATTGATATTGGAACTTTTTCTTACAAAAAAAAACAAAATTTTTTTTTTGGTAGAAACTCTGTTTTTTAAACTGTCATTATCCTCCTCAAATGACAAGTTTTACCTCGATTAGTGGCGAGTGCGGGCAGCATAATTATAGCTTAGTCTTCGCACCTAATTAAGGTCACTTCGCGCCAAGGTGCGAGGAGAGCTAGATTATGTGCGATCGAAAATTTATTCCCGTACCCCATT